GTCTGTATGATGTGTAATGTTTAAATTTATATGTTTTTTTTAATTTATAAAAAAAAGCATTTCACATTTTTTCATTAAATTTTAAAAATATATTTAGTATACACAAGGGCAGATTTCTACATACATACACTGAGTAGGGGTGAAGTCTGGGCTTTTAGTCTACCCATCATGTGGACATTGTACCTAATAGGTAATTGTTCAACCCTCACTCCCCTCCTATGATTTGTAAGCTTCAGTATCTATTAATACACCACCCTGTGCATGTATACTCATTGTTTAACTCCCACTTATAAGTGAGAACATGTGCTATTTTATTTTCTGTTTCTGTGTTACTTTACTTAGGATAAAAACCTCTAGTTCCATCTGTGTTTCTTTAAAATACATGATTTTATTCTTTTTTTTTTTTTATATAGCTGAGTAGTATTCCATGGTGTGTGTGTGTGTGTGTGTGTGTGTGTGTGTGTGTATACATATCTAAGACTCCACTGATGGACACTTAGTTTATTCCATATCTTTGCTATTGAGAATAATGCTACAATAAACATATGAGTGCAGGTTAATTTTTGATATAATTATTTATTTTCCTTTGGGTAGATAACCAGTAGTGGGATGCTGGATCAAATGATAGTTCTTTTTTTTAGTTCTTTGAGAAATCTCCATACTGTTTTCCATAAAGGTTGTACTCATTTACATTCCACCAACAGTGTGTAAGCATTCCCTTTTCTCTGCATTCTCTCCAACATCTGTTGTTTTTAGACTTTTTAATAATAGTCCTTCTGACTGATGTAAAATGGTATTTTTTTGTGGTCTTAATTTGCATTTTTCTGATGATTAGTGATATTGAGCATTTTTTCATATGTTTGTTGGCTGCTTGTAATCTTTTGAAAAATATCTATTCATGTACTTTGCCCCCTTTTTAATAGGGTTATTTGTTTTTTTCTTGTTGAGCTGTTTCAGTTTCTTGTAGATTCTGGTTCTTAGCCCTTTGTTGAATGCATAGTTTGCAAATATTTTTTCCCAATCTGTGGGTTGTCTATTTACTCTGTTGATTGTTTCTTTTTCTGTGCAGAAGCTTTTGTTAGTCTAACTAAGTCCCTTTGTCTATTTTTGTTTTTGTTTTGCTTCCTTTTGAGGACTTAGTCATACATTCTTGGCCTAGGCCAATGTCCAGAAGAGTTTGTCTTAGATTTTCTTACGGAATTTTTGCAGTTCAAGGTCTTACATTTAAGTCTTTATTCTGTCGTCAGTTAATTTTTGTATATGGTGAGAGATATGGGTTTAGTTTTATTCTTCTGCATATAGCTGTCCAATTTTCCCAGCACCATTAATAGGGTGCCCATTTTCCAATTTATGTTTTTGTATGCTTTGTCAAAGATCAGCTGGTTGTAGGTATGTGGCTTTATTTCTGGTTCTCTATTCTGTTCTGTTGATCTATGTGTGTATTTTTTTTTTTTAATGCACCATAGTTTATTTAACCAGGCACTAACATAGAACATTTAAGGTATTTCCAGTTTTTCACTATACGAGATAATGACAAGATTATAATTTTCTGCTTAAGTCATTATCCTAATTTAGGATTACTTCCATGAGATAAATAACAAGATAAATTCTTAGAAATATAGTATTTGGATTAAAGGATGTTAATAATTTTACACTGTTTATACGATTGCCAAATTCCTCCTCAAAATGATTTTACCAATATGTAGATTCCCCAACCTTGGAGACTATTATTTAAAAATATATATACTATTTGGTAAGTAAGAAAATAGCTTTTTAATTTATATAAATTTTTGTAACTACTAGTGAGACTGAACTTTGAAAAAGAACAAATTGTTTGATATGCTACATAAGTTATGCTCTTAGCTATCTATTTGGTACTTGGTAATTTTCTTTTTTCTTTTTTTAAAATATTTTTAATTTTAATTTTTTAAAAAAATTACTTATTATACTTTAAGTTCTGGGGTACATGTACAGAACATGCAAGTTTGTTACATAGGATGGAATCTCACCTTGTTGCCCAGGCTGGAGTGCAATGATGTGATCTCGGCTTATTGCAACCTCCACCTCCTGGGTTCAAGTGATTCTCCTGTGTCAGCTGCCCAAGTAGCTGGGATTACAGGCATGCGCCACCACACCCAGCTAATTTTTTGGTATCTTTAGTGGAGACAGGGCTTCACCATGTTGGCCAGGCTAGTCTTGAACTCCTAACCTCCTGCTCTGCTTGCCTTGGCCTCCAAAAGTGCTAGGATTACAGGCCTGAGCCACCATGCCTGGCCTGTATGTCTGTTTTATGCTAGTACCATGCTGCTTTGGTTACTATAGCTTTATAGTACAATTTTTTTTTTTTTTGAGCTTCAACATTTCTTTCCTTTATTTAAATAAAATTTAAAGTCACAGCCAAGCATGTAAAGAAAAAAGTACTGTCGTCCTGAACTCATTTTTTAGGAAGGGCAACAGAGGAGAAGCAAAATAAACTCTGGAATTGATTAGGTTTAAGATGAGTGCATTTTTTAAGTGTTAGGCTAAGTATAAGGTTTGCTAACCTTGATGGCACACACACAAAAATCTCTAGATGGAGAAGTAGGAGAAGATGCTATTACTTCAGGCAAAAGTAAGAGTTACTGAACAGGAAGGCAAAGTATCAGGGAAAGTTACTCAGCTTTCCCCAAAGATTTAAAAAAGGGGGCAGGTGCAGAATGTTGTTCTCTTCCATCCCAGAATCTGAAAAGCAACTGCGTACGTTCCACATTTTATAACGAGGAAGATGGCAGCAAAAAGAATGGCTTGCCCAGTCATGGTCAGCAAACCCACCAGGACCAGGGCTGAGAGTTCCCACTGCTTCTAGTTCTGAGGTCTTCTTAAGAGGTTGTTGCTTGTAAAATGGCAAAGTTATGGTTTTATCGAACAGTTGAAAGAGATGCTGTTTCAGAAAGATGATAAACTCATTTGCTTTCCTAAAATGACAGTTATATTCGACTTAAGTAACTTAACACTCTTTAAAATCTTATTTTTTTTTAGTTCTCTTTCCAATTTTTTTTCTTTTTGAAACAGGATCTCGTTCTGTCACCCAGGCTGGTGTGCAGTGGCACAATCTTGGCTCACTGCAACCTCTACCTCCCAGGTTTAAGTGATTCTCCTGCCTCAGCCTCCCAAGTAGCTGGGATTACAGGCGCCTGCCACCACACCGGGCTAATTTTTTTCTTTTTAGTAGAGACGGTTTTGCCATGTTGGCCAGGATGGTCTCAAACTCCTGACCTCAAGTGATCCACCCACCTTGGCCTCCCCAAGGTGCTGGGATTACAAGCATGAGCCACTGAGCCCAGCCTCCTTCCAATGTTTTATGTGGTATTTGGTCAGAGATGCCAGCTTGGGAAAACTAAGTTTTTTAAATACTCATGGCAGGGAAACCAAATCATTTATCTCAATGAATAATAATCTATACTTCTGCAATACTCTGTCAGTCCTCTCTTCTCCCTGCTAATGGATACATGGTGGGTATACTGGAAGCCTCAAAGTCAGGCTTTACCCCATACCTTCTAAAGCATTCATCCAGGGTGGTACTCAGGCATACAGACTTTTTTTAAAACTGCCCTTTGAGTCTGACCAACAGACAGGGTAGAGCTCTCTCAAGGTTCTCAGCTTTATCATTTTTGTTCCCTCTCAATACCTTTATGCAAACGAAATTGAACCACCATTAAGTAATCCTTGTTAAGGGGAAAAGAGGCAAGAAGACCTCTAAATATAGTCAAGGTTAACCGTAGTTCTCAACTTCCTAATCTGTGACAAGTGGGGCAGGAATCTCTACCCTAAATTCAGAGGGGTGCTGAGGTATCAATGCTAAAGAGTCATTTCCTATTCCTATCATTGAGAAGGAATGAGACAGCTGCAGAGAGCTTCACCAGAACCTCACTGATGGAGAGGTAGTAATAGAAAAAAAAACAACTTGACAGGAGGAAAACAAATACTAAATGGGCAGATGAGACACAGCATCAGTCTTGCCAAAAACAGGGAAAAACACATAACAAAGGGACATGGTGTATTAAACATTCCCCCCACCTGCAGGATTTTTGCAAGGATTTACCTTGCAAAAAAGACTGCATCTTAGCAGCGGGAAACAAGGAGGAATGGAGGAAGTGCTCACCTCCCTCCCCTATGTCTCATCTGTGTGCTCTCTTCCTTGGTAGCACCGATCTCCCCAGGTGCTGGGTGAGAAATAGGACAAGGGAAAGAGGTCTGCGCATGCTCACCTGCCCTCTGGCCATGCCCGGAGAGCTCAGCAAACACCCCTGTCACGTTCCAGTCACAGATACTGGAGGATGAGGGGCCAGTGCTGGGCCTGTTCCTGCTCTAAGGCCACATCCTAGAAAAGCAGGGTCTGTCTGGGGAGAAAACATGGCCACCAAACGCTGACTAGTGACTGGATTTTCCAGCTGACATTCAGCCTCCTGTCAGCCTCCCTCATCCTCAACTGATGACTAAGGCTGTGTTCCTTCAAGGCCTTGTCCTAACTGGCAATAAAAGGAGAAGGGGTGAAAACCAGCATTCATGAAGAGGTGCTGCCCTGGCAGCCCCATCCTTCCTTGTCTGTCCGACTCCTGCAGCCACAGATGAGAAGCACACACGGGGCACACAAATGTTCCATGAGGCCCTTAACCAGCTCTGCTTCCCTACTCTGCACTTTTGCTGACAGCCACCAAGAAATTCAATCTGCAAATAACTTTGCATCCAGTTTATCCTGTGTGGGTCATTAACAGTGTTCCCATGAGAGACACTCTCGGCATTTATGAATGGGTCAGGAAATGGTGGGAGGATGGACTTCTTTTCCAGGAACTGGGGTCAAAGGCCAGCTTTTCTACCAGCCTCACTCCCAGAAACCCTAAATACTGTCTCAACGCTCACTCTGCAGAGTTCAGCTTTGAAACGTGCAATCGCAGCTCTTGAGTGACATTCAACTAAAAGGCAACATCTTAATTAGGCAGATATGCTCCAGGGACAAGAGCAAAACAGAAGGCGTGAACGAGAGAGGAAAAGATAGAAAAGACACGTAGCGGGAACAGGCAAACAGGCAAGGCAGGCCAGACAGAGGCAGCAAACATGGGCCAACACGCAAAACACCAAGTGGTCCGTCAGCTCAGGCCAGCACTCCACCTTCTCAATTCATTTCAGAAAAATTAGCCTGGAGCCAGGGAGGAGTAGGGAGCACAGTGATTGGTAACGAAAATAGAAGGAGTTGGGTAAGAAAACAAGAGACAGAAGAGATGTCATCTAATGGGCATGAAGTGACCAGGGTGATGATCAGCAAGACAGGAGGCACCAGGGACCCTGTGAGGCACCAACTACGTAGCCAAGTGTATCTAATGGAGAATCCAGGGCCTGACCACCGACACCTGCTTTGACCTTCACCTGCCCTACGTCTGCAGCAGCACCTCTGGCTCAGACAATGAGCAATAGAGTATATCCTAGTTCGTCTATTTCTTCAGGGGTGAGTTCTGCAAATAAGTTCACCTTGGGGTTTAGGGCACTGGGCAGGACTCCCGCCTCTAGATAGCTGATAAGTCCCCTCAGGGCCTGCAGGAAACGGTCAGCCAGCATATCCGGAGACCAGTCAGCCTCCTCCTGGGCCAAGTGGAGGATGATGTTGGTGAGCTGGCTGGCAGTGAGGTGGCCCAGAGCCGGGGTGGACTTGCATATGGCCTTGAGGATCTTGAGGCACAGGGATCGGCAGCCCGAGTCGGCCTGGTCCAAAGCCCGCAGGCATGCCGTCTCAGCAGGACGCAGGCTCAGCCGCCACAGGTTGTCATACTGGGCTAGCCGATGTGGTTTGGCCACCAAGACTGTGTCACCAAGGGTCACTGATGGCAGGAAGTCAATGACGAGATGTTTGTCATGCTCGTACTGCACCTCCAGTGTCAGGGCTTCTGGGGGCGGAGCCAGTCGGATCACATAGTCCAAGAGGGACCCTATGGCTGGCCAATTGATGGAGCCAGCCACTACCTTCTCAAATGTATCAGCAACTGTCTTTGGGGAGAGGTAACCCCCTACTACACAGTGGTCCCAGTAACTGCTCCCACGAGGAAAGTACTCTGGATTCTCACGACGAACCAGGAAAAAGCCAGGGACATTCATGATGATGTCTTCACCGGGAATACATGACCACAGGTTCTGCTGTAGCACAAGGGGCACAATGAGTTGGATGTGGTCAGCTGTCACCACCTGCAGGTCATCATAGAGGCTGCCACTCAAGTACATGTCCCGAAGCGGCATGTCAGGCAACTTGGCCCGCAGGAAGCTCCGGAGCTCCGCACATATGTCCACAGCAGCTTGCTTGGCCTGAGCCTGCTCTCCAGCAGGGATGGCTGCCCGGTTCTGGTAGTAAGAAGTTTCTCCTGTGTCAAAGGCTGAAGAGTCTGTGGAAAGGGTCTGTAGGGACCAGCTCAGGCCTGTCTTCATGTCCCTGTTCAGCAGTCGGGGGGAGCCCATCCAGTTTGGTTCCTCCCAGCTCCTTTTCCCTGAATGGCTCAGGCGGGTGGGGCTGGTAGGGGCACTGATCGCCCGATCATACATCCGCTTAACTGCCAGCGTGGCGATGCCCAGCATGGCCGCTCCACCCACCCCCAGCACCAGCTGGGCATTGGAGAGCACAAAGTCAATGGCCGTGCCAATGCCATTGTCATCCTTCTTGCCTTTGCGCTCACCAGCGCCTGCCATTGCTCATCTGAAGCTTCTTAATGCATCTGTGAGGTGGGGATGGGAGAGACCAGGAGTGTCTACAGAAGGCACCTTTGTCCTCTTTCCTTTGGAGGATCCTAAATTATCCTTCCCAATTTGCCGTGAAGAAAGACCAGGCCCTTCTCCATCTGCCTCTCCCGGGCCTCAGGGTCCTCTAGCTTCTGCTGTTTTCGGAATTCACGGCGGATGGAGGCAAAGTAGAAGTCTTGATCAGTGTAGCGAAGCTGTCGGCCCTGGTGCAACAGAGCCCGATAGAGACTCAGCACCGCCTCTCGGCTCCACGGGGCCATAGGGGACTAGCAGGGGCTGGGTGTCACACCGCAGGCCGCACGCGCTACCACTCCGCAGGACTCACCTCTGGCCCGGTACCTCTCTCGGGGTCACCCATCAATATGGCCCCTTCACTTCCGGCTATAGTACAATTTGAAATGAAATAATTTGATACTTCCAACTTTATTCTGTTTTCTTAAGATTGCTCTTGCTATTTGGGCCCTTTTTTGGTTCTATATGAATTTTAGGATTTTTTTTCTTAATTCTGGGGAAAATGATGTTGGTAATTTCATAAAGATTGCACTGAATCTATAGATTGCCTTGGGCTATATCATCATTTTAATAATATTGATTCTTCCAATTTAGGAGCTTGGGATGTTTTTCCATTTGTTTGTGTCATCTGTGATTTCTTTCATCAGTGTTTTGTAGTTTTCCTTATAGAGACTGTTTACCTCCTTCATTCAGTATATTCCTAAGTTTTGTTTTTTGTTTTTTTTTTTTGGTAGCTATTGTAAATGAGATTGCCTTCTTGATTTGGTCCTTGGCTAGATTATTATTGTTATATGAAAATGCTACTGATTTCTCTATATTAATTTTGTATCTTAAAATTTTCTGAATTCATTTGTCAAATATGAGAGTCTTTTGGTGGAGTGTTTAAGGTTTTCTAGATATAAGATAACATCATTAGCAAAAAAGGATAATTTGATGTTCTCTTTTCCAACTTGGATGCTGGTCTTGTTTTTGTTTTTGTTTTTTCTCATGCCTGATTGCTCTGACAGGGACACCTGGTACTATTTTTAAAATAGGTGGTGAAACTGGACATCTTTTTCATATTCCAGTACTTAGAGGGAATGCTTTCAACTCTTTCCTATTAAATCTCATGGCTGTGGGTTTTTTTGTTGTTGTTCATTTTGGTTTGTTTGTTTGTTGTTTGTTTTGAGACAGAGTCTCACTCTGTCACCCAGGCTGGAATGCAGTGGTGCTATCTTGGCTCACTGCAACCTCTGCCTCCCAGGTTCAAGTGATTATTCTGCCTCAGCCTCCCAAGTAGCTGGGACTACAGGTGTGCACCACTACGCCCAACTAATTTTTTTTTTTTTTTTTTAAGTAGAGACGGGGTTTCACCATGTTGGCCAGGCTGGTCTTGAACTCCTGACCTCAGGTGATCCATCCTCCTTGGCCTCCCAAAGTGCTAGGATTACAGGTATGAGCAACTGTACCTGGCCTTGGCTGTGGGTTTGTCATATATGACCTTTATTATGTTGAGATACATTCCTTCTATTCCTAGATTGTTAAGGATTTTTTATGTTAAAGTGATGCTACATTTTATCAAATGCCTTTTATGTGTCTGTTGAAATGATCATATGGTTTTTGTCTTTAATTTTTTTTATGTGGTATGTCATGTTTATTGATTTGCTTATATTGAACCATCCTTACATTCCTGGGATAAATCCCACTTGATCCTGTTCTGTTATCTTTTTGATGTGCTGTGGGGATTTGATTTGCTAGTATTTTGTTGAGGATTTTTGCATCTGTGTTTATTAGGGATATTGGTCTATAGTTTTTGTTGTGTCCTTGTCTGATTTTGGTATCAGGGAGACACTGGCTTCATAGAATGAGTTAGGGAGAATTCTCTCCTCCTTGATGTTTTGGAATGGTTTGAAGAGGACTGGTGTTAGCTTTTCTTTGAATTTTGGTAGAATTCAACTGTGAATCCATCTGGTCTTGAGTTATGTTTTATTGGAATATTTTTTGTTACTGCTTTTATCTCACTACTTATTATTGGTCTGTTCAGTCTGTTTTCTTGCTGGTTCAATATTGGGAGGTGGTATGTTTCCAATAATTTATCAGTTTACTCTAGGTCTTCTAGTTTGTGAGCATATGGTTTTTTATAATAATCTCTGATCTTTTGCATTTCTCAGGTATCAGGGTTTTCTTAATCCACTCTTCGTCCTTTTCCATTTATCACTGTATTTATTTGGCTCTTCTGTCTTATTGTTTAGTATAGCTAGTGGTTTATCAATTTTATTTATCTTTTAAAAAAACCAGCTTTTTATTTTATTGATTCTTTGTATTTTTTTTTTTTCTGGTCTTTGGATTTTTTTCTTTGTATCTTTTTCCCTTGAAGTGTGATGTTAGATTGTTAATTTGGGATCTTTTCACTGTTTTCATATAGACATTTAATGCTACAAACTCCCTGTTGGCACTGCTTTTGCTGTATGTGTTGTGTTTTCATTATTTAAAAATTTTTTTATTTCCATCTTAATTTCTTCATTGACCCATCAATTGTTCAGAAGCATACTGTTTAATTTTCATGTATTTGTATAGTTTCTGAAGTTTCTCTTGGTATAGATTTCTGGCTTTATTCCACTGTGGTTTGAGAAGATACTATATATGATTTTGATTTTTTAAATTATTATTATTACACTTCAAGTTCTGGGGTACATGTACAGAGCATGCACAGGTTTTTCATATAGGTATACACGTGTCATGGTGGTTTGCTGCATCCATCACCCTGTCACATTTCTCCTAATGCCATCCCTCCCTATCACCCTAGCCCCTGCTAACCCTTCCTTAGCTCCCTACCCCCCAACAGGTCCCAGTGTATGATGTTCCCCTTCCTGTGTCCATATGTTCTCATTTTTCAACACCTGCTTATGAGTGAGAACATACAGTATTTGGTTTTCTGCTCTTGTGTTAGTTTGCTGAGAATGATGGTTTCCAGCTTCATCGATGTCCCTACAAAGGACGTGAACTCATCCTTTTTTTTGGCAGCATGGTAGTCCATGGTGTAGATGTGTCACATTTTCTTTATGCAGCCTGTCATTGATGGGCATTTGCATTGGTTCCAAGTCTTTGCTATTGTGAACAGTGCTGCAGTAAACATACATGTGCATGTGTCTTTTTAATAGAATGATTTGTAATCCTTTGGGTATATGCACAGTAATGGGATTTCTGGGTCAAATAGTATTTCTATTTCTAGATATTTGAGGAGTTGCCACACTGTCTTCCACAATGGTTGAACTAATTTACACTCCCACCAACAGTGTAAAAGTATTCCTATTTCTCCACTTCCTCTCCAGCATCTATTGTCTCCTGATTTTTAATGACTGCCATTCTAATTGGCATGACATAGTATCTCTATGTGGTTTTGATTTGCATTTCTTTAATACCAGTGATGATGATTTTTCATATCCTGAATTGATTTACTGATTTATTTGTATTGGTTTTCAGATTTCTCCTTCATCTCATTGAGCGTTAGTATTTTGAATTATTTATCTGGTATTTTGTGGATTTTTTTTAATTTAAAATTCTTTCTCTTATTTTTAAACCTAATTGTAAGTTTTCAATTGGGGGATTCTTTTTGACTGTAGTATGTCACTGGACAATGTTGTGGTCCTTTGGAGATGTGATTTTCCCCTGCTTTTTCATGTTTCCTCTCTTCTTCCATTGATGTCTCCACATCTGATCTAGCAGTCACTTGTTCAACTATTTGAAATTGCTTTTGTAGGGGAAAATATTTTCCTGAAGATGTATGGGTGTTTTCAATTAAAATACATTGGCTTCTATTGTGGGCACCTGTGGTAGTGTGATCTTTGTATGAATTCTTCATCAGTATACAAGGTCAATGATACCTGTGATTTCCTTGGTTGCTTGCGGTTCAGTTATCAGTTGGTATTATAGTGAAGTTTAGCTGAGGACTTGGTTGCCATCTGAGCCAGTCTTTGATCCCCAGTGGTGGCAGTATTATAATAAGTGTGCCTGTGTTTAGGCCCCAAAGCAACTTACCTTTATTCTACTGTTAGTGAGTCCTGGAGGGCTGATTCTTGGGCCTCCAGGTGGCTTGCCGAGAAGCTACTAGTGGGAGTGGTTGGCCAGGTGTTTGGGTCCTCGGGCCCTTGGTCAGCTGGTGTGGTGTGGGTGATGGCAGTAGCAATGGTAGAACAACCCTGCTGGATCCCAGGCAGTCCATGTTGGTGTTGCTGGAAGCTGCAGTGGGTTGGGCAGGCTAGTCCTCAGTCTCACATCCATCGTGGCAGTGCAGTCTCTTGTCCTAAGTTTTCTTAGGAGAGGTTGGTCTCTTCTCCGTTCCTTGACTGACTGGCAGCTGTAGCCACCATGCCTATTACTCAGGCTGAAGCTGGGGCAAAGCCCTACATGTTGGGACTGAATCCAGGGAGGGCAGCGCCCCTCTCAGGCAGGCAGCATGGGCACAAAGCAATATGGAGTGTTGTCCACTCACATCTCAGTCTCACAGCAGCCCCATTATAGGGCGTGAGTATTGTTCTAGATATGCATAGGAGAGCCTGGTTTCCCCTTTTCTCCTTGACAGGTTAGCAGCTACAGCTGTGTCAGCCCGATCTTAACCTGAGGGCAGGGTGCTCTCCAGTGTTAACCTCTCAAAATGGCACCTTGGGCCTGACAGAGAGGGTGGGTTCCTCCCAGGCAAGCAGCATGGGCAAGAAGCTGTGGGGAGTGTGGTCTGCTCATGTCTGTCTCAACAAAAGCCTGCAGCAGGTCAGTAGGGACCCTCCCAGGGGTGCATTGGAGCACACAGCCTCCCTTCTCCCTCCTTGGAGCAGCACAGCAGCAGCAGGCTTGTCTCTAGATCTCCAGTATCTAGATTCTCAAAGTGGCATCTAGCTAAGGTTGCTCTAGGATCAGATGCCTGTGGGATTCCGAGTTTCCTTTTTGGAGTAATGTCTCTGTACAGTCTTTAGACAGCTTATTATGTCAGGCCCAAGGCCCTAGTGGGTAGAGGGTTTCTCTCATCACTGAGATCCTATAAACCTGTTTCAGAGTGTAGAGCCCTGGAGGTATCTCCATATCTCTCTTATTGTTTCCCCACATCCAGGAGCCCCTCCTGGCTCTCAGTCAGTTCCTGGCTGGGTAAGCTCCCTCTCCTTATCTACTTCTGGTACTTCCCATCTCTTCTCTGATGAATCCTAGCATTCTTTCCTACATTATCTGTTCAAAATATGAGTGTCTACTTACTATTCTGGTTCCTCTTTATGGAGAAGGCACATACTACCTGTATCTAGTCAGCTGTCTATGCTTCACATATTTTTAAAGCTTGTGAGAGATGTGCTTTCTAGGGTTTTATAAGTTGTACAAGTTCTATAAACAAAAATCACATACATCTGTTTTCATTTTGTCTCCTAAGATGGAACATGTAAAGTACTTGGCAACTATAAGTAGACTGTGGTAAAAGTGACCAATAACTGGTAGTGATTATCATCATATTGTCATTCTTTCAGTGAAATGTTAATTTTACTATAGAATGCATTCATTATTATAAATTACATTCATTGAATAAAAGCATAATCTGATTTTTTTTCCCTTGGCAGCAACTTGAATTAGTGGAACCAAGTGGCTGGATTCATGTTCCCTTAACTGATAATCATAAGAAGCCAACTCGCACATTCATGATACAGATTGCTGTTCTAGCCAATCACCAAAATGGAAGAGACACCCATATGAGACAAATTAAAATATACACACCGGTAGAAGAGAGCTCCATTGGTAAATTTCCTAGATGTACAACTATAGATTTCATGATGTATCGTTCAATAAGGTGACTTTAAAATTAGATGAAAATCATTAAATGTATCTCTGTTTTATCCTGTGTTTAAATAGTATATCAGATACCTTTATTGAAAAAAAGCATCGGTTATTTGTAATTTTGTATATGTTCAAAAATATTTTATTGTAACTTTGATAAATACATTTTGGGTCATATTATCTTTATTTTCTTTAACATATAATAAAGCTCACATATTTTACGTTACTAAAAATGGATTTGAAGCCAATCATTTTATTTTCCCTTATATCAAAAGAAAAGAGTTGAACTGAAAATTTCAATATGTACACAATTATAATAGCTGGGTGATTATTTCATTAGTGTTCATACATTAGAGTAATTGTTTATTGCATATTCAAGAACAAGACTGTGTTTTATCAGTGTATGTCATTTCAATAGATTGAAATTACTATTTTTTCTACCCTGAGGAAGTTTATTCTTTTAATACTAGATCTTTTTAATAACAGTGTCAAAATAAGCTTAGTGTTAGGTATCTGATGAGAACCAATCTAATATGGGAAATATAATTAATTGTCTCATATTTACCTTCATAGAATACTTATGGCCCTACGGTTGTCTATATCCTAATGATATTATGTTAAAGATTGCCTGCATAATCTGCTATACGTCTCAGTTATAGCAGTATTTATGGTAGAGTTTCATATTTGTGTCTGCCACTGGCATTCCCTGGGCAGTTATGTATCCCATAAAATCATAAAGGTATGTGAAATTTTTTATATATATTAAAAGATTTTAAAGAAATATGTGGAAATGTGGTTTTTTCCCATGGTGTAAAATGAGTAGATTAGATATTGTATACTTTTTTCTCCAGATGTGTTACTTTTCTGATGGCGGGGGGGATGGTTATTTAGCCACAGAACTTACCCAGATTCACTCTTGTTTAGGAAACATTGCTCTCTGTGGTTCATGCATTCCTGGGTACATGAAAGTATTAAATAGTGAATGTTATTTTTATAATAGTGTGTTTGCTTTATTCTGGTAGAGAGTACTAACTCACTTGGTTACCATAGAAAATGGTTTTACTTTTTTGCTCATTAAAAACTTTGCTCCTCTTCCTATACGTTCTGGGAATAATTTTATTATTATTTTCATTGTGTTGTTTTTGAAGTAAAAAGCATGGTAGGTGATCTTTAGGATTACCAAAAAGTCTGTAATTAAAACTTATTTGGAATCACCAAATTAAACACAGTATACATGTCAGATGCTGGGGAGGGTAGAAGAGAGGATTGAAGGAGAAATCCTGGATAGGAACTAAAGGAATGGAGAGAATGAAGGCAATAAGAATAGAAATGTACACTAGGCATTTATGTTTTCCTTTAGTCTGATAAGGAAGACAGTCATGTAAACAACAGGGTCTTAGTCTTAGACCTAAGGGCTAGAAATCTAATTTTTTTTAAAGTACGAGAAGTTTTATTAATAATGTTACTTCTTACTGACTGCTTATTAAGTTTGCTTAAAAGAAAAAAAGGAGGAAGACTGTCACATATAGCATCTAGTCTCTTATCTCCTATTAATAGTTTGCTAAGAGACTCCTAAAATCAGGAGGTATTAGAAGAATGTTGAGAAAATCAGTATATTTTCTACTTTTATTCTCCTTACCTATTTTTCACATGCCAGCTAGCTGACCATTTTATTAGGCATGAGAAAACTTGGTAGCTGAGGATTATGGAGATAATGCTTCCCCTGATTAAGGAAAATTTAAAATACAGATAGATTATATATTATACTAACAAAGCATAATTATCCAAAGCAGTTGTATTTTACTTTCTAAGTGCACATTATATATTTGACCAAGATATGTATCTCGAATATATAAAAATCTCTTACAACTCAACAGTAAGAAGAAAAATGCAATTTAAAAATGAGCAAAAGAATTGAACAGTCACTTTACCAAGGAAGTTATATGATGGGCAAATAATCATACAAAAAGATGCTCAACTTCATTAGACACTAGTGAAAAGCAAATAAAAACCACAGTGAGATAATACTACACAGCCACTACAATGACTACAATTAAAATTATTATTCCAAGTATTGACAACAATGTGGAGAAAATGGACTTCACACTGCTGGTACAGGCATACCTCAAGATGCTGCAGGTTCAACTTCAGACCACCACACAATAAAGTGAATAGCATAGTAAAGTGAATATCACAGTAAAGTGGGTCACCAAAACGTTTTGGTTTCCCAGTGCTTATAGAATTATGTTTATACTATATTGTAGTCTAAAAAATGTATGCATACCTTTAAAATACGATTGCTAAGTGCTAACAATAATCTGAAGCTTAGGCAAGTTATAGCCTCTTTGCAGGTGGAGGGTCTCATCTAGGTGCTGATGGCTGCTGACTTAGCAGGTGGTGGTTGCTAAATGCTGACATGGCTGTGGCAATTTCTTAAAATAGAACAACAATGAACTTTGCCTCATTGATAGACTTTTCATAAAAAATTTCTCTGGGGCGGGTGTGGTGGCTCAAGCCTATAATCCCAGCACTTTGGGAGGCCAAGGCAGGTGGATCACTAGGTCAAGAGATCAAGATCATCCTGGTCAACATGGTGAAACTCCGTCTCTACTGAAAATACAAAAATAAGCTGGGCATGGTGGCGCAGCCTGTAGTCCCAGCTACTTGGGAGGCTGAGGCAGGAGAATTGCTTGAACCCAGGAGTCGGAGATTGCAGTGAGCCGAGATCGCACCATTGCACTCCAGCCTGGGTAATAAGAGCAAAACTCCGTCTCAAAAAAAAAGATTTCTCTATAGCCTGCGATGCTGTTTGGTAGCATTTTACTCACAGTAGAACTTCTTTTAAAATTGTAGTCAGTCCTCTCAAGTCCAGCTGTTGCTTTATCAATTAAGTTGATGTACTCTTCTAAGTCCTTTGTTGTCATTTCAACAATATGCACAGTTTCTTCACTAGGAATAGATTCTATTTCAAAAAACCAATTTTATTCCTCATCCATGAGAAGCAGTTCTTCAGCCGTCCAAGTTTTATCATGAGATCGCAACCATTCAGACACATCTTTAGGCTTCACTTCTAATTCTTGTTCTCTTGCTATTTCTACCACATGTGCCATTACTTCTTCCACTGAAGTTGTGAACCTCTTAATGTCATCCATGAAAGCTGGAATAAAATTCTTTACAAACTGCTGTTAAAGTTGCTATTTTGACCTTCTTTCATAAATGATAAATGTTCTTACGGCATCTAGAATGGTAAATCCTTTCCAGAATGTTCTCAGTTTTGCTGAGATCCATCAAAAGAATCACCTGCTGCTAGTACCTTATGAAATGTATTCCTGAAATAATAAGACTTGAAAGTCAGAATTATTCTTTGGTTCATGGGCTGTAGAATGGATGTTGTGTTAGCGGGCATAAAAACAAATCTCCTTGAGAGCTCTTGGGTGACCAGGTGTATTGACAATGAGAAGTAATATTTTGAAAGAATCTTTTTTTGAGCAGTGGATCTCAACAAAGGGGCTTAAAACATGCAGTAAATTATGCTCTAAACAGATGTACTGTCATCCAGGCTTTGTTGTTCCACAGACAGAGCACAGGCAGAGTAGATTTAGCATAATTCTTCAGGGCCCTACGGTTTGCAGAATGGTAAATAAGCATTGGCTTCAACTTAAAGTCACTAGCTGCATCCACTTCTAATAAGAGAGTTATTCTGTTTTTTGAAACTTTGAAGCCAGGCATTGACTTTTCTCTAGCTATGAAAGTCCAAGGTGGCATCATCTTCCAATAGAAGGCTGTTCATCTACATGGAAAATCTATTGTTTAGTATAGCCACCTTCATCCCTTACTTTCTAGATTGGGGTATTCAATTTTTTGGCTTTCCTGGGCCACATTGGAAGAAGAATAATTGCCTTGAACCTCACATAGAGTACGCTAACACTAACGGTAGCTGATGAGCTAAAAAAAAAAATTTGTTAAAAAACTCAATGTTTTAAGAAAGTTTACAAATTTTTGTTGGGCCACATTCAAAGCCATCCTGGGCCACATGCAGCCAGTGGCCCGTGAGTTGGACAAGCTTGTTCTAGATCTTCTGGATAATTTGCTGCAGCTTCTCCATCAGCACTTCCTGCTTCACCTTGCTCTTAGCAAATCTTTACCATTAGGTCGATGCCTCCTTTTTGTCTCTATGTGATCCTTAAGCCCAGGTTCTCCTCTGCTCTAGTAAATTATTGGAGTGCTGCCTGTCTTAAATGGGGGAATTCCCAAAAGGATTATTCTGGCAGTATAGGAAGGCTGGTAGTGGTTTGTGCCCAAGGGACCTGTGAACATACCTCCTACAGCATGGTGCTGCTGAATAGCATGAATAGCCATTCTTATGTGGTGTCTCCTTTAGCTGAGTTACAGAGCAGAGTTTCCAGGGCTGGGGATGGTAGTCCTACCTCCCCAGGTTTGTCTCTGCTTGTCTTCAGGGATATTTATACCTTCAAGCAGTCATGATGCTTCCTGTGTGTTAGGGCAGGTACAGGTTTCTTGCCAGGGAATCCACGATGATGGGAGAGCTGATGGACTACTGATACGGTTTGGATGTTTGATCCCTCCAAATTTCATGTTGAAACATAATCCCCAGTTTTGGAGGTGAAGCCTTGGGAGAGGTGTTTGGATCATGGGGGCGGATTTGTCGGGAATGACTTGATGTCTCCTTAGTGATAAGTGAGTTCTCACTCTGAGTTCACAGGAGGTCTGATTGTTTTAAAAGAGTATGGCACCAACCCCATCTCTTGCTCTTGCTCTTACCACGTGATGCTGGCTCTCCTTGGCCTTCCACCATGATTTTAAGCTTTCTGAAGCCTTCACCAGAAGCAAATGCTGACACCAGCTTCCTGTACAGTGTGCAGAACCATGAGCCAATTAAACCTCTTTTCTTTATAAATTACCCAGCCTCAAGGATTTATTTTTAGAGAGGCAAAAACAGACTAACACACTACCTCAATCTCATTTTTTCCAGCGTAGAAACTGTGAGTTGGTGGAAGGCTTTTTGCAAGCTTGGTTCAGGGCAGAATTGTCAGGAGGGGCATTGTGGATGTGGAAGTCTGATTCTTCTACCATCTGCTTGAAGTTTTTTTACTTCTCTATGGTCCTGTGATCTGTCTCATCCTCATATATGACTCCTGCATAGCTGCTGGTAAAAATCTTGGTGCTGTATATTTGTTTTCGGTTTTCTGTGGGGAAGTGAGGCCAGCTTCTTCTATGCTGCTTATTTTATTTTTAGTTTTTTTTAATTTTTCATTTTTTTTCTTCAAAGGTAGGTATGACAGAGGTATATTGCCATTTTTAAACCCCTTCGCCTCACAATTTTATAGAGATGGCTTCTGTCCTGAAACCTTATGAAACAATCTCTGCTAGCTTCAAACTTTTCTTCTGTAGCTTCCTCACCTCTCTCAGCCTTCCTAACATTAAAGAGAGTCATGGCCTTACTTTGGATTAGGCTTGGCTTAAGGAAATGTTATGGCTGCTTTGATCTTCTATTCAGACCGCTCAAACTTTCTCCCTATCAGTAATAAAGCTGTTTTGCTTTCTTATCATTCATGGGTTCACTAGTGTAGCACTTTTAATTTCCTTCAAGAACTTTTCCCTTCTATTCACAACTTTGCTGTTTGGAGAACAAGGCCTAGCTTTCAGCCTATCTCAGTTTTCAACATGCCTTCCTCATTAAACTTAATCCTTTCTAGCTTTTGAGTTAAAGTGAAAAACTGGTTACTCTTCCTTTCACTTGAACACTTAGAGGCCATCGTAAG